CAAAGGAGGAGAGGAGACAACGATGTTGTAATTTCAGACAAACACATTTTGAACAAATGATTGACTTCAGGTTCACTTGCATCAGCACAGCAAAGAGGTGCTCTTCATTTGTTTTGCTAGTTTTGTATTCTTCTCAGGAAAGTAATTTAATTTTCTGAGATAAAAGGTGCCATGGCTGTGATCCAATCTGTATCACCACCACACATTACTATTGAGGGCCTCTGAGCTGTAACGAGCCATTTCCTATCCTTAAAAACGGCATTTCAATCAAAGATTAAATCAGCTACTAGAGATTAACTCAGGGGAGTGGGTCTAAGTAGTTACTTCCACGAATTCTACATGGAGATAAGAAATTATGTCTGTTCCCCTGGACACTGGGGACAAATTGGACATTCTTTGTTTAGAGGCCATACAAATAAGGCCAGGAAGACAGTGGGAAAAATTATCTGGGCTCTCAAGGCTCATTCTTGGAGCCCTACAAGCCACAAATGTGTCATAAAATGGGGTGACTCTGGACAACAGAGCTGGCAGGTTTAGCCTGAAGGCAGTGGGTCCATGAGGCCCCTCAGAGACGCCTCTGCCAGGGACAGAGCCCAGCACAAGGAGCCATGGTGCTCTTATTTGCTAGACAGTACCTTGAAATAGTCGATAAGTGCTTTTGAATACTTTACAGCATGGTCCCTTTTGAGTCGAAACATCCGCCAGTACAGGAGAGCCAGGCATCGATAACTGCAGGGGAAGAAGAGAAACGTGTGTCCTTCACAGCAAAGCTTCAGAACAAATGCTGTCATTTCCAACTCAGTATTTTGATCACACTTATACCTCTAAAATGTTCCCATCTTAAGTATGTGTATGAGTATTTGACGTTCCTTTTGCTCGAAAAACATGATTCAAGATTCCAAGGAGGCTCCCCATACCTGCATTTACCACTAGATGACATGTAATAACAGCTTTAAGAGCTCTTTGTTGGGAACAGGGTCAGGTCACTCTCTTCTTCTACCACCAGAGGGCAGTGTCTCCCCACTAGAGCCCGAGGGAGTACTAGCACAAGGTCTATACTGCTTTACAGGGTGAGCTATTGGGCTCGTAGACAGGACAGCAATTTCACAGATTTTATCACCTCTGCTTGTTAACGCTTTACTAGATTGTAATCAGTTCAAATAAAGTGCATTACAACCACAACAGAAATACTAATCTGAGGCTAGTTATGTTTGCTCATTTACTACAAGGTTTTGTATACTTATTTATATCCTACATATATTGCAACATTAATTGTTAATCACCATCAATTTATTAATCCCAACATGGTACTTCAATAAAGAAAAGGGCATGTTTAGCATTTCCCGAGACTCATTCTCTCTTTCCTGGTGCTTGTCACTGGTAACTCTTCCTCAGCTTAGATCAGATATTGTCAGGTTACAATCACGAGGTGCCCAGTACAACCTGGTTCACTTCTCTAACACGTCAAACTCCAGAGGAAATCACATCGAACAGCTCAAGACTATCTTGTGCCTACGTTGCAGTTATGCTGTCTGAGATTCCATTTGATTTTCCATCTCACAGATTAGATCTAGAGCTCAGGGAACCTGCCAAAGGCACACCACTTTGAATTCACAGGACAAGAGAGACTAAGAGAGAGGCTTTGCAGTGTGAGGGATGGGTTGAGGTGGCAAAGCAGATGCTGTGTGAGAGTTATCACTGCACAGCCCTTACTACTGTAATCCTAATTGCAGGGAGATTGATTACCCATTAGCTCGTGTGAGAGAAATTATTTTATTACCTAAGTATAATAAGCATCCCCTCAGTTCAGTGTATTGATAACTCTAATGCATTGTGGGTATTCATGCATACTGACTTGGCATGTGAAATAACTTGTCAATGATTTTGACTGCATCTAAAGTGCTAAGTACAAGAAAAAAGTCCATTTAGTACTGTTCACGTTCAAAGGACTGAGGTGGGGCCTATTATTTTTACTTTGATTTTGTGTGTGTACATATATGAGTACATGTGTGTGCTCAGGCTCATGCCCTCCCATGTGTAGAGGCCAGAGGTCCACACTGGGTGTCTGACGTTTAACACCTTATTTCTCTATGACAGGGAGCCTGCTGTTTTTGGTTACCCTGATCGGCTACTGGCACCATTCTCTCCCTGTGATGTGGTCACCGTGAATTCAGGGTATCGTAGGGAAAAGTGGTCCAGACCTCTTGGCTGTTGGAGAAGCTTGGGATTAAGTGGGTTTGAGGTTCCAGGAAGCACAAGGCAGTTCAGCACCCCATTTGCAGAGCTGGGGTTATACTTACCAAAGCGCAGCTAACTGTTTGTCCTCAGGTGTGGCATTGGGGCCTGAGTGGGTTTTTAATCTCATAGCATACCTTTAAAAAAAAAAGATAAAATAAAAAAAGCAAAGGAATTTAAAAATGCTTTTCTGGGTATCAATAGAAGCTTTCCTATGGTTCTCCACCCCACACTCAGGTGTTCTTTCTTTTCTTTTTATGTACATGTGTGTGTCTTGTTATGCACATGTAAGTACATATGGGCATGTATGCCCATGGAGGACAGACTGGGTGTTGGATTCCTCGGAGCTCAAGTCACAAAGTGGCTGTAAATTTTGGGATTCGAACTTGGGTCCTCTGCACGAGCAGCAGATGTTCTTAACCACTGAACCAGCTCTCCAGCCCGAGTACATAGGTGCTCACAGTGCTGACAAGCCTGCCTTAAAAGCTGGCTGATGGCATTACTGTGCCAACTGGAAGGAGCTGGCTTTTGTTGTGCTACCCTCTGCACTTTAATGATACAGAACAGACTCTCAAGAGTGCGGCAAGCTTGAGAACCATTCACAGATATGGGTAAACATCAATTTCTTCTACATTTCTACTATGCTATGAGTCACTTAGAATGGAGGTGAAGCTCACCCTGGTGCTCAGACATAGAGGGTAGCACCGTCATTTTACTTTGTGAAGCTCTTGGCATACATAGCAAGCGGCTTGCTGAAAATGGCCGAGAAAGTAATCCTGTTGCTGCAGTTTCTAAGTTCCAAGTGCAGCCCTTTGCAGTTTCCCTGGAGCTTGCCCTGGGTAAAACCCTGTCTGTGTGACCTACAGCTCGATGGTGTCAATGTGTTACACAGTCTGAGGCATGGAAATCTTTACCTCTTTTCTTTTAAGTAATAGTACCTTGAGTACCAGATGGTGGTGTAAATTTTGTTTCAACCATCAAATGATTTACAAAACTCACTGGAAGGAACAGTTTATTGTGAACACAGCTACACTTCTGTTCCTCCTGGACACTCCAAGATTCCTTTTATCACCATGTCCTTTTTATTGAGGAAGTTGCTTCAGTCTTAAAAATATATATATATTTTTAATTTTACTTGTTTTTATTAGTTTGCAAATAACTAGGTTGTATTATGGCACTCTACAAATATAATTTGTTGTTGTTGTATCTCCCTCCCAACCTTCTGTTGGGCTCTGAGACCAGAGAGGGAAATGAGGAATGCCTTCTCCCTCTTGACCTGTGGGTTGGCTAGAGACAAATGCTTCTGGTTTTCTTAGTCTGACTCCAGCTAGGACACTAGATGGTTGTTTTTAGACTCCTTCTGCCCCGATGAGAGGAGACCACATATACAGCACACACATACATATACAAACACCATAAACACAACACATTCACCATACACATATACATACATACATACATACATACATACAAACACATTTGCATACATGAACACACATATGTGCACACACACAAAGTTGGATCTTTTGTGATTATGTTTGCTGTAGTTTGTAGTGACTTGGAAATCCATAAGCTGGGAGTGATTCCCAACCTAAGAGTGCTCAGAGGCAAGAATCTTAAGGTAGCTTTGTTCTTCTAGATTTGAGTACAACCCTTTGCTCTCTGGAGCCCTGGGGAGGGAGGAAATCTCTCCCTTGTAGAGTGATGCCCCTGCCAGTGGCTCCCAAGTATCTTTTAGGGAGAGGGGAGCTAGGTCTGGTGGGTAAGGCACAGATTTAAGCAGCAAAAAACTAGTTCATAACTAGTTACATTTTCATGGGTTACAACCTGACATTGTGATACAAATTTACACTGTATACTGATGAAGCCAGGGTTGTTAGCACAGGACCTTTTTATTCATTTGCCTTTTTTTTTTTTTTTTGTGAGAATGTTAAACCAACCAACCAACCAACTTCTCTTGAAGCTACTCTGAAACACACCTTACCATCAACTGCGGTCATCCTTCAGGTAAGAGAATCTCCCCTTGCCTCCACTTTCTGGGTATTGAGGGGGTGGCACTCATCCTGAACTGTACTCTCTCTGGGCCAGGCGGCCGGCCTCAGTGGGTGCAGCATGTGTCATATCTGCATCCCACGTGTTTGACGGGCTTTGATGTGGTTATGATTTATCTATCATTTTATAGCATGGATGGCTTTAAGCAGGATAAAACAGTGAAGTTCTCTGTGGGCCCTGTGGCAATCAGATATTTAATAATCACAAACTGTATACTGGGTCTGCCTGTGGTTTTAATTCCCTGTTGCTTAGTGATACACCGATTGTCCTTTTTATGTTTCCTACAGAGAAATGCCTACTTAGGCTCACATTTCAGAATGAGGTTACTACTGTCGTTTCTTCTCACCACTCTTGAGAAGGAGATGAGTAAATACATTCATTCATTTAAATGACCAGGACTGAACCCAGTGGCTTGTGCAGCCAACTGGTCTACCACACACTTACAGCTCCATTTTCCCTATTGACCTTTGGTTTTCAAGCAGCTTAGAGAAGAAGTGAGTTCAACACCGACCACTTCCTATTTGAGGGACATGGGGACATGTCCCTGTCACTTCCTTGGACAGCCAGGGTGACTTTGTGCATAGGTGCCCTGCCTCATACAGGAAACAGGAAGGCAAGCTAAGTAAAAGCTGTAAGCCCCTCCCCATTCTTATTTTGGGGGAGGAATGTTGGGAGTTAGTCTGGTACATTGCATACAAATGCTAAATTCTGAATCCCAAGATCTGGTTGCAGTCCCACAAGCAAATTCTCACATATACTAGCCTTTGTTATATAAACCTAGCTTCCCAATTTAAAGCTCTTGGTTAAATAGAAGTGGTTACAGCCAATGACTGGGGAGAATAGAGGCAGGTGGGGTTTCGGTTATTGGCCTGGGGGTCGCAGGTAGGGACATGGAGGAGAAAAAGAGGAGAAAGCAGGAGATAGGAGGAGGGGGAAGGGGAAATAGATGGAGAGAACAAGAGGTTTCCATGAGACATGATGGACCAGGTGCACATGGCTGAATGAAACACGCCATGGACAGACTGACAGAGCAGAAATAACCCGGGGAAGACTCAGACAGCAACCAGTCGGTGAGTGCAACTGGTGAATTAACAGTCTAGTGTAGAGAAAAATAGATTAAGGGCAATTTGCACAGTAATTGTGCTAACACTGATTTTAAAAAATCCATAGGACTCTGCCTCGATTATTGGGGGGGCTGGTCAAGTTGTATTAATAACTAATATAGTTATTAAACAACATTTAAAAATCACTTACGGAGGAGCATTGGTTCCCACTGGCTGTTAGAGCAGGCAGTCATACTTTTCTTAGTATTCCTCCATCTGAGCATATATGTACTGCTCCCCTGCCCTGCCCCACAGCTCCCTGGCTCTGCCCGACTGCTCCCAGGCTCCGCCCCTTGCCCCCGCCCTGCCTCGCTCTTGCTGGAAGCAGGGCTTGCTTACCTGATGAGCTCCACCGTCTCTGAGTACATGGTGTATGGGGACTTGGATTCCATTGGCCCTTGTTCCATTGCGTTTCCACACTCGATGAAGGACAAGGCTGCTTCAGCATAGTTCAGGGCCTTCCCGAACTTCTCCACCTGACAAACAGAATCGGTGATGTGTTCCTTCATAAGAGGTTTTTAAAAGGGGGGAATCGCTGCAGTTTATATGCTTTGAGAAACCCAGCTTTTGAGCTCTAAAATTTGAACCGAGAGAGAGAGAGAGAGAGAGAGAGAGAGAGAGAGAGAGAGAGAGAGAGAGAGAGAGAGAGAG